GTCAGGAGCCCTGGTTATCAGTGGTTACAGGTTGGATTGCTAACCTCAAGGTCAGTGGTCGAAACCATGCTGATCCACAGGAGTAAGGCAAGGCTTTCCACTCCAGTTAAGAGTTCCAATCTGGGAGACCCACAGGTGTACTGTACCCTACAGTGTCACTGAGTTGGAATCGACTTTTTGAGTTTACCAAAAGGCCTGTGGCCTAAGTGCGTTATGCATTAGGCTGCTAGCTGAAAGGTCGGGGTTTGAACCTACCAAGATGCTCTAAGTCCGAATCCACTGGATGGCAGTGGCTTTGGTTTCTGGTTACTTAAGAAGCCCTGATGTCGCTGTTAAGTGTTGGGTAGTGGTTCAAACCCACCAGCTCCCCTGAGAGGGAGATGAGGCTGGCCGCTCCTGTCAACATCCAGAGCCTGGGGAGCCCTGCAGGGTCACTATGAGTCCCATCTACTCGTTGGCAATGGGTTACCATCCATGCCCAGGCCGGGCCAGTGTCCGACCCACATTTGGTAGCCTGGGACATACATACGATGCCTAACTTTTGCAAAGCTGCAACCCTCTCGAGGGCAGTGCTTACTGAATAAACTAGTGATTTAACAAAAATGAAGACTGACCTTCTGCAGCAGAAGAGGAGAGTTGGCCTGCCTGGGTTCTGAGTATAGGGGGCGATACACACTCTGAGAAGAGCCGGCTAGGCTACGATCTTGACACCACGTAGCTCGTGGTAAAAAGAAAAGGCCTACAGGCCGGCATTTAAGACCCCGCGAATCCTGGAGTTGTAGGCGCGCTGCCACGCCCTTCTGCTGACTCTTGGCTTCTATTGGCTGCGTCTGTAGGACCCGCCCCCGCGCGAGCGCAGAAGAAACGCAGCCGCTTCCCCGGGGTGTGAAAACTGTCGCTAGAACCCGACGTAATCTAACGACCAATCACAGGGGCCTGCCATCAACGTTGTCCAATGAGAACAGGCAGAGGCCCCAGGACCCGCGGAGTTTGATTTTCGCCCAGGTCCGCTTCCGAGTTCCGCCTCCGTAGACGTAGCGGGCCGCTTCTGGAGGCCAGGGCCGCTGGCGGGGGCTCGGGTTGTGGCGGCCACGCCTCCGGCCGCCTTGCCTCGGCTGAGCCCGGGGCTGCAGGGCGCACCGCGGCAGCAACACCTGCCGTCGTTCGCGTGCGCCGGGGACCGGGCTCGCGAATCGCCCGCTGCTGGACCCCGGTGATCGGTGGCTGGCTAGGCTCTGCAATCAGGTGAGCATGGCGAACCCGCTGCGGTTGGAGCTTTTGGCTAAAGCGAGTGACGGCACCTGACCACGGCTTGTTGTTCAACTCGTTGCGTGGCTAAGTCAGGTCGCCTGTCTGCGGTTCAGGCTTCTTGCAGTTAAACAAGCGGAGAAGTTTGGGGGCGGCGGCCGGATACTTTTTGAGAAAGAACTCCTTTTTGCCTAGCTGACCTTTCAGAGGGGGTGTGTGTGTGTGTGTGTGTGTGTGCCCCTGCCCGCTTCCAGCGCCTGCCGAGCTCACCCCGCTCCTGAGTCTCCGCCGGAAGTCAGAAGCCTTCCCTGCTAAGTGCGTTCCTTACCTATTGATGATTGAGATTTGTCGATTTCACTGGCCCAAGCACCCTGCGGATTTTTTAAGCAACTTAACCGATGAGTTGAAGTTTACAAACTTCCTTTTCCTCCCACCCCTTGACCTTCAAAATACTGTCGCACCAAGAAAGCTTATGGTGCGATGTGTAAAGAAAGGATCATCCAGGCTGTTCGAATTAATGCGGCACTTTATTATCTGCAAGGCTAATCTTATCCAACAGGTACCAAGAAGCCGATCATGCTTTCTTGAATTTGCTTCTGTATCTGCTTCATCAATGTCTCTAATATTGACACTCCTCAGAGAGATGCTGGAATACTTTGGGATTCCCATAGACCAGGTAAATAAATGCCTTTTAATGGACTTGAATGAACTTCTCGTGTATGTTCTCGGGTCTCATTTTGATATTGTTAGATGTGCAAACATTAAAAATTTACTTTTTAATTGTTACGTCTTTTTAGGTGGAACCAAGGTGAGTTTGCCTCTAGATAGCTTTGATAAATTGAATGAAAAAGGGGAATAGAAGGTTATTAAGAACTTGTTACCGTACATTGACCATTTGCCAACAGAAGATACAAAAAGAAGCAAAATACAAACAGCGTTCATGGAATTTTCTTGATTGCATAGATAAAACATTTATATTTATCTAATGGTTTATTTAAGATAATCTTGATAGTTGGTTCGACAAACAACTTGAGGTTCAGCTCTTTCAGAGTAAATCTGAAGGGGAGAGGATCATTTAGCTCTGAAAATTATGAGCCAATGCACTGTGGTTCCTTACGGACCAGCTTGTGCACCAAGCCTGTGCTTGGTTCTGCAGGTAATAGAGAGGAGAAATGTCTGGTTCTTAAAATATAGCTTGAGAAAATAAAAAGCACAAGAATGATAACCATTATGCAAGACGGAGTATCAGAAAGGTACACATATAGAGTCGCAGGGCTTACAGAAGGGACACACTAGTCAAGGATAACAGGAGCTTGGACAGAAGCAATTTGAGGGATGATGGTGCTGTTACTATAAATAGGCTTGTCAGTGTGAGTGGGGAGATAAGGTGAACCAGAAGTGATGTTGGAGTAAATAAACGGAAATAGTCTGCAGACAGAAAAATAGCTCAAAAAGATAGGACAGCAAAGAGATTGAGATTTGGGAGTTCGCTACATTGTTTTGATAGTCAATGCCACAGAAATTGGTAATGGAAGATAGAACCTTGGATGTCATTGAAGCATTTTGAATTTCAAAAGTCGGAAGACTGAAGTCCATGAGAACTGAGTAACAGTTGAAGTTTTGCTTGTTTTTAAGGAGTAACTTGAGCATAATAGTAAGCACTGGGGAAGAAGCTCGTAGACAGGGAGAAAATGAAAATACAATTTAGATACGACGAGTAAATTCAAGGCAATTGAGATAATGTGTTACCCCAAATGAACATGTGCTTTCATAAGGGAATTATGGGAAATTAAATTGTATCAATACAGTAGGGCCTGTATTACCTTTTTTAAAAAAATAATATCATTGTCCTTTTACATTGGCATTCTTTCTGTAGGCTTGATCGTATGAACAGGCTTGATCAGAATGCATTTTAAATAACATTTTGTGTTTAAATAGATTTTGCCGATTTGGGAAAATAAAGAATACGGATCAACTCGAAGTATTGTTCGCATAATTGGGAGAATTCTTCCTTTAGAACCTTGCCCAAGGCCTAACTTTGAGGTAAGACCTTCAGCTGGTTTCAGCGCAGTGACTCTTAGGGATGAGTGTTCAGTAGTTTGCCCAGGGAAGCAAGTCACTTCCTGGGTGGCCATGCTGTGTCCTCCAGGAAGTGCCTTCAAAGACAATTGGGTTCCCTGGTGCCTGAGCAATTACATTGTGGTTGGCAGATAAGATTAACCAGGCTGTGGAGGGAAAGCATTTTTTAGCATGTTTCTCCCTTGTCATAGCATGCTTTTCTATTGAATCTCCATTTTCCTTTTCACGCGCTTGGATGCTCCACAGATTCAGTTTGCGAGGAGTGTGCGTCTGCGCACCCCCCACCTGCCAAGTCCTGCCCAGGTATAACTTTTTCTCTTTTCCCCGCTTCCACTTTAGTTGACCCCGCCCTGGAGCCCCATCGCCTCTGCCCACGGTGACTCTACACTGCCACCCTTGGCTGACATTTTGTGCATGGCAAATGAGGAAGAAGCCAGTCATCTCCGATTTCGGTAATTGTCACGTGTTTATTGTGGGGTAATCTCAGTGCCCGCATGTTTTGAGGTTTATTTGTACTGCCTGAGCCACTCTGAATTTTACGGCCTTTCTCTGTGTCGGCCCTACCGATACCTTCCTCGTTTCTTTAGTCAGTTTTCTTCATCCCTGGGGAGCTGTAGTGGGTTACATGCTGGTCCCCACCTCACCAACCCGTCTGTGGGACAAAGATAAGACTGTGTTCCTGTTAAGACTGACAGTCTCGGAAACCCCCCAGAGCAGTTCTACCCTGTCCTGTAGGGTCGCCAGGAGTCAGCATCGACTGGACGGCTGTGAGTTGAGGGGGTAAGACAACACCAGGTCTAGCCAGTTACCAGGGGACGAAAGGGACAGGATGTCAGGAGGAAGCGCTGTGCTCATTTGCAGGAGAAAGCTGCTGCTTCTGCTCGATACCAGGTTGTTGTTGCTAAGTGGCTTCCAGCCCGTCCCAGTTTGGTTCTATGTAAGCAGAACCAAACACTGCCCAGGCCGGTGCCATCCTCACAATTGTTCTTATGGCTGAGCCCTTGTTGCAGCCTCGAGGGCCTGACTGCCCTCTGCTGCCTCTCCACTTTAACAAAGCCGGATGCTGACCAGTGACTGGTTTCTCCTGATAACGTGCCCAAAGTACATAGATGCATTCTCGTCGTCCTTGCCTCTAAGGAGCATCTGGGCTGGACTTCTTACAGAACACAGCTGCTTGTCCTTTTGGCAACCCATCATGGTACTTTCAGTATTCTTTGCCGACGCCGTAGTTCACATGTATCGATTCTTCTTCAGTCTTCCTATTCAGTGTCCAACTTCCACATGCATGTGAGCCACTGGAGAATATCATGGCTTGGGTCAGGCACATCATAGTCCTCAAAATAACATCCTTGCCCTTCAATACTCTAAAGAGCTCTCGTGCAGCAGATTTGCCTAATGCAACATACCTTGTGATCTCTTAAGTGCTTCCAGGGCATGGATTGTGGAGCCAAGCAAGAAAAAAATCCTTGATCACATCAACCTTTTCTCCATTTATCATAAAATGTTTGTTATTGGTCCAAGAGGATTTTTGTTTTCTTTACATTGAGTTGGAACCCATACTGAAGGCTGTCATCCTTGATCTTCCTCAGCAAGTCCTTCAAATCCTCCTCACTTTCAGCAAGCAAGTGAACGTTATTAATAAGCCTTCTTCCAATCTTTTGCATGTACTAGCTTCTCCGATTATTTGCTCAGCACACAGATTGAGCAAATGTGATGCGAGAATACAACCTGATGCACACCTTTCCTGATTCTAAGCCACGTGGTACATTCCATTGTTCTGTTCACGTAACTGACTGCCTCTTGACCCATGTATAGGTTCCTCATGAGCACAATGAAGGATTCTGGAATTGTCATTCTTCTCAAGGCTGTCCATAGTTTGTTAAGGTCCACAGAATTGAATGCGTTTGCATAGTCAATGAAACACAGGTAAATATCTTCTGGCATTCTCTACTTTGAGCTAAGAGCTATCTGATATCAGCAATGACATCCCTTGCTCCATGTCCTCTTCTGAATCTGGCCTGAACTTCTGGCAGTTCTCTGTCAAAGTACTGTTGCAACCATTGTTGAATGATCTTCAGCAAAATTTTACTGGCACGGATATCAATGATATTGTTCTATAATTTGAGCATTTGGGGGGACATCTTTCTTTGTAATGGGTACAGATAAGCATCTCTTCCAGTCAGTTGGCCAAGTAGCTGTCTTTCAAATGTCTTGGCATAGACAGGTGAGTGCTTCCAGTGCTTCATCAGCTTGTTGAAACATTTCAATTGAGATTCCATCAATTTGTGGAGCCTTGTTTTTGGATAATGCTTTCAGCATCTTAGAATTCTTCCTTCACACTATTGGCTCCTGGTCATAGGCCACCTCTTGAAATGGCTGAATCCCAGCTACTTTTGGGCACAGTGACTATTCTTTCCATCTTCTTTTGATGCTTTCTGCATCATTCAAGATTTTGCTCACAGAATCTTTCAATATTGCACCGGAAGGCTTGATTTTTAAAAAAATAAATCATTTTATTGGGGGCTCTTAGCTCTCATAACAATCCATACATCAATTGTACCAGGTACATTTGTACATATGTTGCCATCATCATTTTCAAAACATTTTCTTTCTACTTGAACCCTTGGTATCAGCTTCTCTTTTTTCCCTCCCTTCCCCACCCTCCCACTCTCGTCACTCCTTGATAAATTATAAATTATTATTATTTTCATATCTTATACCAACCGCTGTCTCCTTTTACCCACGCTGCTTGGCCCCCTCGGGGAGGAGGGCCCTGTTATATGTTGATCATTGTGATTGGTTCCCCCTTTCTCCCCCTTCTCCCACCTT